TGCCTGGTTTTCTCTAAAACAAATCTATTATATGGTAAATGGAACGCACCTGTGAGTGTTCAGTAAGTCAAAGAAGGTATCACCAAAGGCTCAGTTTTTATTTTGTTTTGTTTCTGTTTTTGAGGCGGATCTCATATATCCCAGAATGACCTAAATCTTGCTTTGTAGCTGAAGATAACCTTGAACTTCTGACTCCTCCTGTCTCTGTCTCCCCAGTATTGTAATTACAGGCATGTACCACCATGCTTTGTTTATCAAGCAGTGGGGTTTGAACCTAAGGTTCCAGGAATGCAAGATAAACACTTTTCCAAGCGGGCTCCAGCCCAGCCGAAAGCTCAGAATCTGTGAATATATACCACTCCATAAGATGGGGCCCACATTTTTATTCCCATCACTCAGGAGGCAGAGGCAAGCAGATGTTTGTGAGTTTGAGGCCAGCCAGTTTCATCTGCAAAGTGAGCACCAGGTCAGCAAGCATTACCTTGGTGAGTTTTCATGAGGGAGGGAGGGAGAGACAAACGGAGGGAGGAAGAGAATGGAAGGAAGGAAGGAAGGAAGGAGAGGAACAGAGAAAGAAAAAAGAAATAAAGAAAAGGAGGGAAAGACAGAAAAAAGGGGTGGTGGATTAAACTTTAGCAAACTCAAGGCAGGAAAGCCCTATCTGGTGAAAACTGAACCTCATTAATATATTTTTAAAGGCAGAACATGTAACAACAAACACAGTTCTAAAACAAGAGGCCTAGGATGCAGAGATGACTCAGAGAATAAAAGTGCTTGCCATGCAAGCTTGACATCCTGAGCTCAATCCCAGGACCTAGAGTAGATGCATAGGATAACCAACATCTGGAAGTTGTCCTTTGACCTCTGTATATGCACCATGGTACACACACACACACACACAAATAAAATAAATTTAAAAACGAGAGGGTTTGGTAATACTGACCAAAATTTTTAAAAAAATAAAGTACTTGCTGGGAGCTACAGGTCAATTATCATGAATTATAATTTGCTAAATACCTGATCTGCTTTATGTGTTCAGGCATTGAGGATTTAACGGCAAATGTTGCACCTGGCTAAGTTCAGTGCCTCATCAGATGTTAACAGACACATGCAGAACCCACAGGAATTTAGCAGTTAAACAAGGCATGGAAAAAAGGAGATCTTTTCATTAAGTTCTCAAGACAAACACAACATAACTGGATTCAAGAAAAAGAAAGTAAGTTAAGATGTAATGAAAGAACCAAAGAAAGAAGAAGAAAGGAAAAAGAACCAATGTGTTAAAATTAGTCAAAGATCCCTATTTGCAGACACTATCAGCCAGACTGCACTTGTTTTGTTTGAATTTGAGAGTCTCATTATCTAGCCCATACTGGCCTTGAACTTGTCATCCTCCCTCCTAAACCTCCTAGTGCTGAGAGGCAGGCCTTCAAAAACACATCTAGCCTGTCTGGCATTTTAACTCTTCTGCCGAGAAACTGTCAACTTTTTTTTCAGACTTAAACAGCTACAAGAATCTCTCCCGACTAATCCCAGATTCCCACTGTGGCAGCTGAGATTTAAAGCCACCTGTGCCACTAAGTTGCTGGGAGATTTTTTTGGTAAACAGCCCAATGGCTCAGTAAGTTCATTCCCCGTAATGCATACCTGCCAAAATTCACGGGCAAAAGGGGATTGAGTGGCCATGCTTGAAGAAATTCTCATTGGTGCAGCTGGCAGAAAGACCTGCTATTTAGCACAGGGTTTAATAATGCTGTGCTAACCTGGGCATTCGCGTCTTCAGCTGGAACTGAGTTGTGGGCCAGCACTCATGTAATCCTACAAGCCACTATCAGACTACGATCCTCAGACCTCAGAGAAATCACGAGACTAAAAAGAAACTCAACAGCAGGAATGTTAATCAGGGACAGAATTCAGCCACAAGTTATGCCCTTCCTTATGTTACTACAGTTGGCAGCCACCCAAAATCAGCATGGCTGTGACGAGGGTCTGTGTAACAAGGCATTGCAAATGATATTTTGCAGACTGAAAAATGAGAGCTGGAGAAAGGAACCAATTTTCCAACCAACTCTTCTACTTCCTGGCCTAAAGTAACATAGCCCTTGTTACACTCAACTGGGAAAGAACTTTCTAGAAAGCCAAAAAAAAAAAAACAAGGAGTTGTGAAGTTAAGAGACGCTATCAAACATAAGCGTGTCCACCTTGAAACCCCCTTTCCCTTCAGCTAACAGCTCCCTGGCCTTGTCGCTGCTTGTCCAAGGTCTGTTGCTACACTATAGCCTAATTCATCTAATTCATTTGCAAAAGCATTTCCTGGTTCATAATATCTCCCCCTTTGCAATAGACACAATCACAGAAAGCATTTTAACATCTTTTTCTCCAGGCCTAGGCTGATCTATCACAGCCTCGAATTAGATAATGCATGAGTGGTAAAGTGCTAGATAAATGTAAGTGATTAGTAGTCCTCCAAAGTATCGTTACTAATGTGTGCACCCGAGTCATAACACTGGTTGTTAGCATCTGCTGGTCATTATTTTTTTTTTCTTACCGACTCTTGTCAACTTTCAAAAATCCATACGGTCCTGCTTCTAAGGAAGAGCCATACAGAAGGCACTAGAAAGTCAGATGCATCAAAGCAGTGATTGGGGACAGAGGACAAAGGCGGACAAATCCCCCCCCCCCCACACACACACACACTGCAAGAATGTGTCAGCACGTGTCCTTTCTCTGCCTCCACCCTATAGCTTCAGGGCATAGGCTAAGAAAAAAGCTACACAGAAGGATCAGCCTGTAGTCCCCCAAATATCTGTCCTGACATCAAGTGTTTGAGACTCCAAAGGTTGCCTCAACAATTTATTTTACTGGGAGCTATATAGAGCAAAAGTGAAGGGTGGACTGGCTGGCTACCTGACCTCCACAGAGATCAATTTGCCTTTTTTGCACAAGGAGGTCAAAAGCCTTTCAAAGTAGCTCTCTGTCATATTGCCATCGGTTATGGGGCAAAAGTACCACAGACCAGACTGTCAAGGGCTAGGAGTACAACTGTTTCAACTTTACAGGTAGAGAAACTGAGGCCCAGAAAGGGGACTTCCCCCAAAGCCATACAACTAATTAATTCCAGAAGTAGGTCTCTGGAGTCGTAAAAGCCTCTAAAATCTCTCCTTTAAAAATCACAATTGCTGCCAGGTTTGACGTCATCACACCAGTAGCAGCCCCAGTGAGGCTGAATTTAGCCCTTTGTTGACCTTCTAGATCTGTGGTGGCCAGAGGCCTCAAGACCCCTTTGGAGAGGCACTCTCTGACCCTCACCACCTGCTGTCCTAAAATAGCACTCCTGTCTTAAGAGGCACACACGACGGTGGCTGGGATGCATTCTTTCCTCTCATTAACAAAAAAGCCATTCACTTAAAAAGAAACGAGAGGACTGGTCAAATTTGCACAGAAGATCTAGCTAGGACAACCCTGGACTAGCTGTGAATGGCACCCCTTCCTACAATGCCCTCTAGAAAGAAAGAAAGAAAGAAAGAAAGAAAGAAAGAAAGAAGAGAAGAGAAAGTAAAAAGAAAAAGAAAACCACTGTCCACTCCATCTCTTTTCCATGCTTTTAGTGACCCAATCGATACCATACCCTTTATTCCAGGGCTATCTACATCTTCTTGCCATCTGCAAGATGCCATGGGGCCAATGTCATTCTACACTTTTATAGATCAAGAAACTGAGGCCAAATCTGTGTAACCAAATGGATTTCTAGGAAAAGTGAGCTAGTAAATATATGAGCCACAAGTGTACAGCAAAGTCCTACAGGATGGACTCACCACTCTCTGCCACTCCCAGTTTAGGACTGAGGGCTCGCAACTAACTCCAAAGGAGAGCTGGCTTTCCATCCCTGATGCTAATCCATCTTTTGCCTTGAAGTGACCTCTCTCCTTGAACCCCGCAGGGGCAGTAAAATACTGGTAATAATCTCAAACTCCTCCCACCTCACGAAGGGTTGCGAAGGGTTGCCACCAGTCCCGAGAACAACCTTCAACAAATGTAAAAGCAATAAGGATGCTAATGGTGGGCTTCAAAACTACCCCCCAGTAACACTCCCCAAGTTTGCCACAGCCCAGAATCTAAAAAGACCTAATTGCTTTCTCTGTCGTCCCTCGTCCCTCCGTTACTTTAGAGCTTCAGGCTGAGTAAAGAAATTCTCAGTCTTTGGTCCTCACACAGACTACATACCTAGCTGGCAATTTCTCCTTTCAAGCCCATCTGTTTGCCTTAGCATAACTAATAGGTAGAAGTCAGGAAAGAAAAAAAAATCAGCTCTCTGAGGACCCTTGGAGCATGACCAGAAGACAGAGGACAGAGAATCGGGTTTGAAAAATGTAAATACCCTCTCACCTCTGATCGAGATTTCCCGAACCTAAAGTCCACAAATCTGTATGGGGCCGAGTTCAGAAAGCTCTTAGCAGCTCAGGGCTGCTCAAGCTTCTCACAACCCAAAAGTAGACCTCTCCCTAAGAGCATAAACTCCAAAAGGAAAGAAGGAATCAAGAGAAATCCCTAAAAGTATTTCCCCAATGGACCACAGTGGAGACAAGGAAGCCTGTGTGACCACCTCCAGGAAAGCATGTGACCAGGGCCCCGGGGCGTGGGGGGGGGGGGAGGGAGCTACTACAGAAGGCTAGAGGGCTGGGCCACCACGGGGCCACAGACGTGATTCTGAAGGGGCACCTAGCTGGGGCTGGACTTCCTGCTGGTGAAAAGACCAGGCTCCAGCAGGGCTGGGAGGGGAGGGGCATGGGGCTCAGAGTGCAAGTCATTTCTAGGGCTCTTCACCTCCACTGTAGGGCCGATCCATTGTGCAATGCTGAAGTTAGCACAAAGGCGGCCGCTGGTTGGAAAATCATCTTTAAGGGTCCCAATTCCCACGGGGACGAAGTGCTCTACACTAGTGTCCTGAGCACATAAATGACTCTTATCACTTAGGCTGCCCAGGAAAAAGTCAACAGACTCACATGCATCATGGTGACCAGGTGACAAGGGTTGAGCAGGTAGATGACGGTCTTGGTGGCGAACTTAAAGCCCACCTCCACCCCGAAGATCAGGCACAGGGCTACCAAGAGCAGATTCTTGCTCAGGCTCTCCTTGCCTTCATCTGGCCGCTGGGTCACCTGCTGTGGCTGGCTGCCACGGCCACCCCTACCGTCCTCCGTCTGCCTCAGGATGTGCCGAAGGGCCACCAGGATCTCCAACAGGGCCAGGGTCAGGACCACCACACTTTCCAGCAGCCGCTGCTGCCAAGACAGGAAGGCAGCACAGTCGGGGCCCCCATTGCCTGCAAAACTGGGGTCGACACCCCCATAGAGCCAGTCCAGGAGACTTTGGTAGCTATACCGGGACATGATGCAAAGTGGCTCCACTTGACTACGGTACAGGAAGCAAGAGCGAGATGGAACACGAGACCGAAGGGTTGCCCGGGCGGTGGAACATGTAAGGAGGGCACACCCGCACCCCCCTCTGGACACTGGGGCACCTAGAACAGGGGAGGGAAAGCTACACGCGAGGCCCGGGGTAAAGTGCTGGCTCTAACTTGTCCCCACGGCTGTCTGGGGAGCCCCCCGCGCTTCTCCAGTGGCCACCAACGAGGCAGGGTTGAAAGGAGCCGTTGGCCAATCTAAAAGGAAGGAGAGGAAAAAAAGGTCTCAAAGAGGCAATTGCACGGGAATTAACGAAGCGGGGAGGGGTAACTAGCGAGGGAAGAAAAGGGGAACGGGAGCGGTGGCCAAGCAAGCAGGGGTCGAGGGAAGTTGGAGGCCAAGAGGGTCAGGGCGGGGACCTAGGGGACCCGGCACTGCCGAGGGAGCCAAGCGGGAGGCAGAGGAGGGTGAGAGAGAGGGGACACCGGAGGCTAGGAGAGGAGCTAGCAGGGCCGGGCAGGCGGGGAGGGCGACGGGGAGGGCAGGGACGCCGGACTCCTCGTCTCACGCACTCCACGAGAGGGGGGGGGGTGTCTTACTCCTGCAACCGCGTGGCCGTCTCTGCCCCCAGCTAGCAACTTCGCCGCCGACGGGGCCCCCTCTCCAGCCAATTTAGAGCGGTCCCGGTCCAGCCTCCCGCCCCCGGGTACACTCCCAAACCCCCAGCTCCACCCCCTGGCCCCTCAAGCCCGCCCTCCCGGCCAGCACCACCCTCTCTGCCCGCGGCCCGCCCGGGACCAGCCCCCTAGGCGCAGGCGGGCGGCGGGAGGAAGCTGAGAGGGAGGGCGGGGAAGCGGGGCCAGTCAGGGGC